CTTGCGGGCGCGGTCGAAGACCACGTAGAAGCCCTCCATGATGACAGCGCCCATGACGGTGCCCGTGGAGGACTGGGAGATGGCGAACTTGTAGCAGTCATCCTGAGAGGTGGCCACGTCCTCCACCGGGCGCAGGTATTGCTGCAGGAGGAGAGGAGCCATCAGAAGGGAACAGGCAGCTGTGCCCACCCAGCACCATCCTGGCCACACCACCAGCTCCAGCCCACGGTCCAGCTCGGCTGGACCAATGCTCACCTGGGGCAGGATGGTGATCCGGAAGGACTGGTTGGTGGCCTCCCCCATCAGATAGAGGGACAGGACGGGGAAGATGTGCCAGGGAGTGGTGCCGACCTGCCAGCAAACCAGCTGCTCCCCCAGCCAGAAGCCATCTGGGAACTTCTCCGTCTGCCGGAGGGAAGAGGGAGGTGAGGGGGCGGTGTGGGGCAGGCAGCAGGGACCCCAGGCTGGTGGGGCAGCCGTGCTGCCTGCAGCCCTGTGCTGGCCCTGGGGACATGCCCATGGGGCCAGAGGTGGGTTCCACTGACCGAAGAAGCTGTTTTGATGGATTTCACTGCAGCTTCAAACACCTTCTTTGGCAGCCTGAGGTTGGTGGTCCCGCTGTCCACAATGCTCTTGTCATAGTTGTACTGGGGACAGAAGAGGAGGAGTGACCCCAGCCCCGCTCCCCTTCCCACCCCCTCAGCTCAGCAGCCGCCACCTCTGGAGCAGAGCCCTGGAGGGCAGGTCCCCCTCTGCCCCCTTACCTCTTTGCAGTCCATGTTCAGGTCCTGCCCATTAACCTCCAGCTTGACGATGATGACCTCGTAGTACCACTCCTTCCGGATGGGGGTGTACCAGATGTCACCCACGTAGAGCGAGCGGTCGATGCCACCGATGATCTGCAGCAGAGGCAGAGAGGTGCTGCCCCCCCCAGCCGGGGGGGCTGGTCCCCCTGGCAGCCCCCTGACCCCCAGCTGGCCTCAGGGTGCTCACCATGCTGCCCCCCACAGCTGCCAGGGCCTCTGTCTCGTTAGGTGAGAAGCCTGCCCCACAAAGCTGGAGGGAGAAGATGTTGGGCACCCGGGTTTGCTTCACCAGTGAGTCAAAGAAGGGCTCCAGGCTGTCGTCAGGCTGGTGGGAGGAGAAAGCAGAGGCAGGATAGGATGTGTCAGCACTGTCCCTTCTGCAGGGCTCTGTGCTGAGGGGAGCTGCCCTTGGCAGGACTGCCATGCCCTAGGGATCCTGAATCTGCGCACTGGTGAAACAGGGCTCAAGGTCACCAGCACAGCTGTAAATCAGGGAAGGGAAGAGACAATCCCATGGGACAGGGCACCCAGCCCTGCTGGCAGGGCTGGGCCACAAGCCAGAGCTCACCCGGGCGATCTCGGCATAGGCCAGTCCCAGGATCCCCTCCCAGTTGGAGCCGTTGATGAAGAACTTGTCTGACTCGGTGATGGCAGCGATGTTGGCTCTGACGGTGACGTTGGGGCCGTGGGGGATGGTGACCAGGTCAGTGCCCAGTTCCCCTTCCCACTTGCCCTGGGTGTAGGGCACGTACACTCCCTTCCGCAGGTCACGGTAGGTGCTGGACCTGCAAGGGCAGCAGAGAGGCAGTCAGGCCAGTGTGGCAGGGCCTCAGACACCCGGCAGGAAGGGGCAGCGTGGCACAGGAGGGCTGTGCTCCCTGCTGTACTCACAGCTGCCTCTGGTAATATCTCCGGAGGAAAGGGTGAGGAGCTGCTCCCACAGCGAAGTTACTGCTCCCTGTATCCACCAGGATATTCAGCTGGAGAAGGAAGAGAGACAGGGGGCCTCATGATGCTGTAGTGACCTGAGCTGTGCCAGGGACAGCCCGGAGACCCGGGCGAGAGGAGCAAGTGACATGGGGGTGTTGCACAACGAGCAAACATTGTGCCCCAACATGAGCTCTCCTCTCAGCACAGCTCTCCCTCAGCCCCTGAATCCGCAGGCAGGATTTGGGAAGCAGCTGGCAGGGTGTCATGGGGCTGCAGGGAGCAACAGCCAGATGGGGTGTGCAGGCTTCCCTGGCTGGGAAACCTTCTGTGGCCAGAAAGTTGGTGGGAAGGGCTGGTGGGACCTGGGGCAGCGTGGGTGGCTGGGGCTGCTGGCTGGGCCTCCCCACGCCGCTCTGCGCCCGCCTGGATTAGCTGCTCTCCAGCAGCCTGGCAAGAATGGATCCTGCCCCTGGCTGAACCCTGCCAGCAGCAGAGAGGGGGTGGCTGGGGGCAAAGTGGGGCTCCGTGAGGCTCCCGGCCATGTGGGGTGAGCTCTGACCCCCAGCACCACCCCAGGCAGCAGCCCCTTCATCTGTGGAGCCAGAGGGAGAGGAAAGAGGCTAAAGCTGCAGCTGCCAGACCTTCCCCTGGCAACACCTGGGCCGTTCTGTGGGATGGATCCTGAGGGATCTGCTGCACACAGCTGAGCCCCAGGGCAGCCACAGGAGCCAGAGTTCCCAGGGGAAAAGGTCTGCTGAGATGCTGCTGCATGTGTAGGTGACAGTGGGAGCAGCAGCAGGGACAGACGCAGGCTCTGTCCTCCTCCTCCCAGGAGGACCCACAGGGAAAGGACCCACATCCCTGGGATTGTTGCCTTGGAGAAGGACACACCCCCTCCCGGCAGATCAACACCCTCCCTGATTCCTTGCACAGCCACGCGCTCGCATGTGAATCTTTTAATTCCATTACAAGGCCTGGGGGGATTTGGCTCAGCACACACACCCGCCCTCCCGCCTGGAAGGAGTCCAGGGCTGGGAGATGCTGCCCAAAAGGGGCTTGGGACCCCACCAGTGCCTGGGAACAGGTGGTTCGGAAATCATTCATCTGCCAGCTGCCACACGTGGCAGGTCCCGGGCAGAAGGATGATGAAATCACATTTAAAACTAGATTTTAGACATAATCTCCTCCCTTTTTCCCTGGGAGCCCGGGCAGAGCATAAATCCCAGTCACACAGGGACAACACAAGAGACCCGACGGCAAAGGTTGGGCTCTCCCAGCCACGGCTGATGTCCTGGGT